GACCTGTTTTATTATGTCGTTAGGCTTCTTCTAGGGCCACACGATTGCGGTCGATGTGTTTATGAGGTCATAGCTTCTCCGCTGAGTGGCTCTGTGTTCCCCTTGTAGCTTTAGCAGATTTGACTCTGTCGTCTTGCCTTTAGTGATTGATAGGATTGGGAAAGTGCTCCAGATGAAGGTTCTGGAGAAGCCCTTTGTTCCCCTCCCTGCTCTGTGTATAATTCCGGGTCTCCTTGCAGAAAAACCACAGTTGGTTACAACTATAAGGCTGGGTGCCTCTGCGTTGTTTTGTTTAGGGCTGACCACTGCGGGGTTCCCAAGGGCGTTCAGTGTTTTCGTCCTGGGATCATCGTGATCTGAAGGTCGTTGTTCCAACCCGGAGCTTTTACAGGCCTCATTTGTCTTCTTCTGTCTCGCTGTCCTGAGGAAATGACATCACGCTTTTGCTGTTGTCAGGGTTTCTCTGAAGAGCTGTTGCGGAATTCAGGTCAAGCCTGCTGTGGTTCTGGTTGGTCGGAATGGCAGGCTTTCGGCCTGTCGGCTCGAGATAGTGGGGTGACAGATCCGCACTGGACCCTGGCTTTGAGGAAGACCCTCTAGCTTCCAGTCAATGCTTGCTGAACGGTTAGCACGTGACAGTAAACCCGTTTGGAGGTTGAAAATGCTTGGGATTTCAGATGAGTTGCAATTACCGTAAATTATGGTGTACTTTCTCCCCAGAAACAAACAGGACACCCTTCATATACTCAGCATTTGGGCCAGAGAGTTAGCATGTATTTAACGCCTGATCACGCTGAGCCTAGTGCTTTGTTTCCATGCCGTTCCCTCCCCCTGTGTTTCTGCGTCTCTGCTGCCGTGGCGACGGGCATGTGGTGTTCTCACTTACTCTGTCACTGTTTACCCATGCCTTTAAAGATCCCATGTTTTATATCACCTGTTTTAACAATTACTTAATGAATGGCAAAACAACATATTTAGAAGTGCGGCTTTATTTTTGTTTTCTTTTGTTTTTATACGTATAGTTTTGGAACAGAATGGAGTCAGCCGTTTGAGTTTACGGGAAGCCTGAAAGCCACTAAGTTCTCTCTCGATGGCAGGGCGGAGTTAGCGAGGAAGGGGTCTGAGTGCAGAGCCGTTTACGACTCAGGTTCCCGCAATGACGACCGGCCGCATTTCTGCCATTTCGGCTGAGGCTCGCTAGTGAGGACCTGGCTCCTCCCACCAGAAGCGCTCATGATATAACCAGAGAGGAATGCTGTGGAGGTTGAGTGTGGGCCTGGCCGAGGGGAGATTAGGTGATAAGGCTGAGTAGATGCTGGAGGTGCTGTAGCCTCATGTCACAGAGCCAGCTTGTGCGCGTCTTATTCCTTCTTATTAATATCATCATTATAGTTCTTGGTGTGCAGCTCAGTGGGTTAAGGCGCTGTGATCAGAAGGTCATCGGCTCGAATCGCCATTGGACCCTTGAGCAGGACCCTAAACCTCCAGTTACTCAAGGGACTGTCTGACTCTGGTTTCTCAAAAAAAATGCATGTTGCATTGGATAAAAGCACCCGCGAAATAAATAACTATATCAGTTTATTGTCCTGCTGATCATCCACGCTAGAGCAGAGTGAGTGCTGAAAAGCAGGACATCTGTACTTAAAGCTTCTTTAACTGTGGTCAGATTGTCAGGATCCCCACCCTTCTTTGTCATTGTTGCATCTGTAGAACATCTGCCATAGCTGATGTCTTGACTGATCCATGTTTCACCCTGGGGAAGGAGAGGGGGTAATGTAACTGCTATTGTTCTTGTAGTGGGCATGCTTCTTCAAGGTCTTAGTCACCCACTTTTGGTCTGCATCAGTATCAGTTTGTAGATGGTCTTCGTTTTTTCCCCCCTTTCACATCCTTTGCTTCTATATTCTTGGGTAGTCTAAACGTCCATGAATTAAAAAAGATAGGATTAGAGTGATTTTATTATGAGTTTTATGTCCCAGTGGGCTTTGGGTTTTTCTGAAGTTACATTTGCATAATCTCTTTGCCGCTGTGAGCCAGCACTCGACAATATTTGATGAGCGTGGAAGTGCAGTTGGGGCAGCTTGAAGAGAGAGTTCCTCAGCACTCAGTAAGGTCACACCTGGATTATAAGTTCTCCTCCATTATTTATGAATAATTATGTAAACACCGCTTCAGACTGGAGGCCGAGCAAATGTCCTTTGACCATCTCACAGGTGAAGTGGTGTTCATTTTTCAGAAGACATGTCAGGTGATGTTTTGGTGAGACAAAAGTCAATAATTTTTCTCTACCAAAACAACAAGGAGGATACCCATGAGTTGACTCGTCCACAACGCACATGGAGAGTGGAGCCTGGTGCCGTTGTCTGCTAAAAGGTCGCGCCTCATATTTAGTCATTCATTACTCAAATTGTAAGTAGGTCACCCTGGGTGAAGGTAGGTCTCTGCTCCTTGTTTCAGATACCATACCTTCCCAGACACCCTTCCAGAAAGCCCTTTCTGCTAAATGCTGTCAGGGAGTCCTGTCTTCCACACCACCGCGGCCTTGATCACTCCTGGAAGTGCTCCACCCTTTGATTCATGGAGTTTTGTCAGTTCTGCTTCTGTTGCAGATTCAGATGTTACGTAACAGTATAGTCAGTGTTACTTATTTAAGAGCATTGCTGATTGACCAGATTTGATTGAGCAAGGTCTTGACGCTTATTCCCGAGCAGATGTCACTGATTTGAGTACGGAGAGGACATGGACATGTTAGCTTGTTACTCATCTAGTGTTGTTTAGTCATGAAACACCAAAGACTTCATTGATGACAAGTCAGATCCTTTCTTCCAGAATGCTGTCAAGATTCTCAGGGAGAGGATGATGCTGCAGTTACATCTTGCAAAAGCAGCTGTACTTTATTTTTTTTCCTTGGACAGTTGGTCTTATTGAGTGGGAAGGCGTGAAGGGGACAGCAAGCTGCTCTTTTGTGCATCCCTGTTCGCTCTGCACCCCTGGTCACATGACCATACAGCCGCGGGAATGAACCGGCCTTCTCAAGTCAAATCAAATCTGAAATTAATTGCCTTCCGGATGATTCAATTTCTTGGGGCGAGGATTCCCGTCTTCGGTATTGAGATGACTTCCTGTTGCGCAGGGGATTGGTGTAATTGTAAGGATGTAGGGACGCGGCCGATGGCTTTAATTATACTAGAGAGAGACGTCGTGGAGCCCTGTGATGTATTAAGCACTCTTATCCTCTCTAGTTTGGCTCTGTTGGGTCTTCAGAAGATGATCTCCTAGAAGACCGTGACATTGGGCAGAGGAAAACTAGTCTTACTCTATTGCTTAAAGGCGTAAAGCAGCGTTAATAATAATGTTAATCTTCCTTTATAGCTCTGAGCAGAAATAGGAATAGGACCTGGATTTAGTGTTGCTAATGCATAGTATCTACCAGAGACAACAAACACAGCAGGCAAGAGGACTATGGGTCAGTTATCTTGGGTCCTGTTAATCTGATCTGGAGTCATTAGAGATTGTAAAGTTTGACAGAGACCTGTTTGTCTGAACATTTTTCAGTTGTCCTTTATTAGGTACTTTCCCACCAAAGTTCCAGAACCTGGTTCCCGGTTTCAAGTTCATGGGCTGTCTGGACTGGGAACTTCTGTAGCTCCTGGCCACTTTTGTGTGTCACTTTCCCATAGCGCAACAGGAGCCAGGACCTTTATGCTGAATAAGCTTGGGAGATGCAAAAGGCTCATAGGTTAAACTTCACATGTAACTTCATATGTAGGGGAACTACATTGCCACCCTAAGACAATGGAGGGTGAGCAAGTTGATTCGTTAGTTATTTTTCTGTATTTTTTTCACCAACATATGTACAGTATGTACATCTGTTATAGATGAATGAATTAAAAACATGTATGACAAAATTAGAAATGACAGGAATGGTAATGCGCAAAAGAGAAGACATATGCCTTACCAAGGCAGTGCTGGCCTAATGGTTAGGGAAGTGTGTTTGTAATTGAAAGGTTGCTGGTCTGAACCCCTAACCAGCAAGGTACCCCTGGGGTACCCTGGGCAAAGTACCACCCTCGGGCACTGTTCCCTCGGTGCTGATGTCACAATGTCACATAGTTAAATGCAGAGGACACATTTCATTGACACCTGTATTTTGATGTAAGGGTAACGTGTTCATGGAAAGGATGGAATGGAAAGGGGCTTTTTTGGGAATGTCTTCACTGGGTTGCCTGGCAGCTTTCATGGTAGAGTATTGAGATTATCAACATTGTGGGAATTATCTGAGAATAAGATGCTCTTCCCAAACCAAATCAGGAACACAGGTGGGGCAGATGCAGAGCGCTGCATCCTTAGTGATGCAATATATGCTTTACAAAGCTGGTCTATGCAACCTTTCTCTGATAATGAAAAACTTACTGTTGAGAGAAGAAGGGTAGATGGCAATGAAGACCTGGTCAAATCCATGGTGCTGACTTGTAGAGCTCTGCGTAATCTATATAATCTATGTGAAAATATTATCTGGGGCAGTACACAACAGAAGCCTGACGACAATTAAAAGTGCACTTAACTGGAAAGATGCTCCATTTAAGGTATTAGACTAATATAAATTAAAACAAATATTGAAATTTGTTTGGCAATTTTTCAAAGGAAATGTACTGAGTAACAATGTTTCCTCACCATTCTCCTCCATCAGCTCCCCTGTCAGACTGAATGTTTCGAATTTTGCTGTGGATTCCGTGCAACATCACAGCAGAAGCTCTCTTGTTTACAAAAAGTAATATTATAAGTCTTCATTAAAAATGAGTGGCCTTGAAACTAGGGCTGAATGATATTGGAAAAATTCACGCATTGATATTTGAAATCTTTACCATATTGCAGTATTTATATAACAAAGTTGATCCAAAATAAATTACATCCAAATAGAACTTATCTGCCAAAAAAAGTCTGTCTTTGCTGGAAAAGGCAAGTCAGTAGTTCACATTCTGGTGAAGTTGCCAAGTCTCTACTTATTTAAAGTTTTATTAAGTCAATTTATTAATTTCACAGAACATGAATTTCAAGAACATTTTAACTAAATATGCATATAAAATTAGCAGCAGCACCATAATCAGATTCCTTACACTTGTTGCCACGAGTTGTGCCAGTGCTGACAAATCACTTGCTCTTGCTTAATATTGTCTCTGTAGAATCCAAAATATTTCCATTCAGGGAAAGACCGATGCCTTCTGGTAATCAGTTCCTATTTGCTTGTTCCCCTCACTTTCATAAAATTGCTCAAACGCACCACACGAGTGCACAATGATGAAAGCTCACACAAAAACAAAAACTTCAGAATGAATAAACCGCAAACACAAAGAACAGAAATCACAGCCAATTGTATTACTGCTAAATATTTTAAACTGCTCTTATTCTTTGATTTTTTTTTTAAAGATTTATCGATTTCACACAGTCTGGAATATTCAACAATGCTGCCTCATTCCTACCATGTACATTATTTTGCTTTTAATTGCCAACAATACAAAGAGTTTTGTATGACACCTTTAACTATGCTTTTACGTAAATGTAACTGAATGTTTCTTTTGTGGCAGTGACATCACAAACTAAATGACACCACTCCATCATAAAAGAATAGTTTTATTAGACCAACAAAAGATGTAACGCTTCTGAACATTTCAGAATTGCAAAATTTGTAATTATCGGAACATTTTTTATAAAAATAAATGCAATATACAAACAGCATTCAGAACATTAGTACTAGAACGTAATAATGGAAAATAATAATAGGAAAAAATCTAGTCTAGGGATGGTGCCGTAGGCGCATTTCGTTTATCAAGGACCTGGACAAGCCGGTCAAAGATGGCAAGAAAGCCTTGCTGAAAAGCGTTTTGCTGTTGCAGCGCCTCCGCAGCTTCCTCTCGTAGAACAGCGAATTCTCTTTCTCTCTGCGCCGCCTCTTGAGCATCGTGATCAATAAGCAGCTGGAAATACCGCTCGCGCTGTTCATATCCCTGCCACAGGACATCCGAGCTTCGTTCCGTCATCTCTCGTATGGCCTCCAGAAAATCGGGATCCCTTTTCCTTTTTCCTGTCAAGTGCATCAACATTATCATGTCAAAATGCATACAGTGTCAGTTTTGTCTTTAAAGTCTATGTGCAACAAGTTGGCAAAAAAATGTAAAAGTCTTACTCCTCTTGTGCGGAGTTTCCCGCATTGGAGAAAGAGGATGTGGACAGTTGAAGGGGACAGAAGAGGCTGAACTGGACTCTGACTGTGATATCTCACAGAGATGATCTGGAAAACAGATTTTATGAAATGAAACTCAGTGGAGCCTGAACATATGGATCATGTTGGTACATTTATTTGCAGTACTGTGCAAAGGTCTTAGGCAGTCAAAGAAAAGTGTTACAATGTTTAAATGATCTTCATGTTTGTGCAAATCTATATCACATCTGCCATAGTTTGTTAGCTTAGTTATTTCAAAAGTCACCCTCCTAAAGTCACCCCAGTATGTACAGCAACCCTTCAATATACACACATGCATTTATTTTTTTTACTCAATCACCTTGATCTATCTTGTTTGGCCAATGAAATAACTTTTCTCCTCTTCTGAGCAAACAATTAACATACACCTAACACCAAAATAAGATTAAGATTAAAACGTACTGTACTGATCCCAGTGGGAAATTCTGGTGGATACAGCAGGGAGAACACATATAGTGCCAAATTGCAAAAACAGTATGCATAATGCAAACAAGTAAATGTAGTGCAAAAACAGAATATTGTGATATTATGGAAATATTTAAAGATAAGTATAATCAGTTAGCATAATAAGTGAATAGAACACATAGCACCGGACCTTTGCTGTAAATATAAATAGCTTTAAACATTCTTTGATCGCCAAAGTATGGCACATGTGCATATATTTTTATTCAGCAGACGGTTTTTTTTCTAAAGCGACAAGAAGGTACATACACAGATTCGCAGCCCCTCTACCGAATGAGTTATTTTGCCTCCCCTCCAAGAACATCATCTTTTATTTTATTCTTAAATAAAGTCGTTCTTTCTAAAACCAATCCGGCCTCCACCAGGGGCGTGGCTACGGACCGTTCGCTCACCCCGCGATCCCTCCCCCAGTCGGATCTGCTCTGGCACCGGCACGGCACACACACTGCGCTACTTGTAATGGTGTGAACACTGAATAGCTGATGCTCGCTCCATATAAATGTTAAACGTGCTAGAAAAACCAAACATACCTTCCTTAGATGACACATCAGTGGCTTGCGTGTCGTCCACGGTCAATTCCAGCGACGCCGCGACCGATTCCTTTGTTTCGGCGTTTCCCGAATATGCAGGTCTGTGACCCAGAATAGCGTCCATAATGCTGAACCATTTGTTCGTTTTTCTCTCCGAGCCGTTTTGGTTATTGTGAACTTTGACTTTTTTGTAGTCTTGCTTCATCTTCTTTATTTTCTCGCGGCACTGCTTGGCGGTGTGCTGGACGCCCATTTCGGCCAGACGCGACGAAATCTTGCGGTAAAGCTTATCGTTGCGCGTGGTCGAATCAAACTCGCGCTGTATGTCGGCTTCGGCGTAGATGCTCAGCAGCGCGTGCACCTCCTCGTCGGTCCATTTTGCGCACTTTTCCATCTGCTCCATTTTTTCTCCACTACTACCGTTCTACAGGGATTGGAAAAAAAATCTCTATTTCCCTGCACTAATGCCTAACTTATAACCTGGCGCCTATGCTTGTGGCCAAACAATCAGCAAAGTTTATTACTATCAGCTCCACCTCAGTAGTTCCCGGTCGAATAAAAAGTACCTTCCCCGAAGTAGGAACTAAATAAACAGGACCAGGAACTACGTACCCGGAAATACAATCGAGCCTAGTTCCTGTTCCTGTAAAATGTTTCTGCGGTGGGAAGGGCCTATTCGTTCCAGTGTGTGGCTCCGTGTTAGGAGGAGCCAAGAATACACAGGGTATACAGTCAAAGGCAGCTCTATAAGCAGAGGATACTGCAATTAAAAATGATAAATAAATACAATAATTATATAATGTGATACATATATACACAAACTCTAGGTACCAAAAATATAATGTGTGCACATATGTACAATATAAATAAATATATTTACATGATATAGATTTCTTAGACTGAATTATAAATATATGACAAACTCTTACCATCACGGAGGTGCTACAGAAGTGTGAAATCAAGGACCACTTGACTGCAGAACAGTTTTTAATTATAAGTCATTGGGCTCGCATCCATGCCCCCCCAACCCCCCGAATGTGCTGATACCTGTGACCAGTGAGTGCTGTAAGCAGCCCCCCCCAACACATGTGCGCGCACACACACACACATATACAGGACAATACTGCAGACTTTGCACAGCCTATATACCTCTACTTGAGGGATTTCTTTTTATCTACTTATACTGACATTTTATGTATATTCATCTACTGCACTATATGTTTACATTGCACTCTGTGTTTTTTAATATTGTGTCTTAGGTTTGATCTGTGTCTGCTGTACTTAGATGGAACATTTAGAGTAAGATTTTTATTGTATGGTATAATTGGTTGTTTTACCGTACATATGACAATAAACTTCACAATCAGATTGTACAGTGTTTGTGGGGGGAGGGGGAGCCATCTTGGCTTTTGGTTAAGTGACAGTTTGTAAACTTTATAGCCTGGAGCTGAAGCTCTTCCTATGTCTTTCTGGTACAAAAATATCAAAAACGTCGTCTGGCCCTTAAGCACTGGATTAGGATGCTGTGACTTTGATGGGATGGTCGCCAGTGAGAATCCCAGGCTTGGTAGAGTGTCACCAACAGGACGTTCTGACCCTGTTCTCTCAATTGTATGTCACTTTGGATGGAAGCGACTGCTAAATAAATAAAATGTTAAACAGTATAGCTGCTGGTTTCAGCGTAACTTGAATGCATAAGTACCATGGATGAATGACGACTCCCCTCCTGTATTTCCGCAGGTTGATGTTTTCCCCTAGGGAGCCTCCAGGGTTGCCTCAGAGACAGACCCCCCAGGGTTCGTCGCCCGTCTCCTGAACACGACCCCGCCTTTCATTGGGCTAACCCGTCCACGAGCTCTTGCCACACGTACCCAGCATTCAGACCCCGGCAGTCTCCGCAGGCGCCTCAGCCAACCCGCTGGGGTCATACGGCGTCGCCATGGACACCGAGTCAACGTACTCTGGGTACTCCTACTACTCCGGCCGTTCCAGGGGCTCCCACAAGCCTGGGTAAGCGGATCTTCCTTCTCTATAGTCCCCACTCCCTCCTCTGTGAGCCTTTACATCTCTAGCATTTGGTTTGCATTTCACCATTTCCAAGGATTATTTATCGACCACTATTTTTCCATTGCTGCCTCTGTCTTTGTCTTCCCTTTCAGTTCCCTTGTAGTAGGGAGTACTGAAGCTCTCTGATTCAGAACAGCTATGTCGACCCAGCCACAAAGCCGTGAAATAAATCAGCAAACCGCAGCCATTATAATTCATTATGAAAATAAACATGAAACAGTACAACAGACGGTACCGCGTAGATCAGGGTTCTTCAACTCTGGACCTTGATTCCAAATCTAGGCCATGTTTTCAGTTCTCCCAGGTAGTTGTTTAATAATTACTGATTCTGATTGGTCAGAGGCTTCACACCTGACTGACAGGTAAAGGAAGGCTGGAAAACCAGCAGTGCTCGGACCTCGAGTTGAATAACCCTGGCGTAGATAATTTCAGCCATAAAAGTAAATGCTTACCCTTTACCTTCACCTCTAACTGCTTGCCGATGGTCAGGGGTCACCAACCTGCACATACACAGACAAATGTGTCTGTGGAAAGAGTCACCTGTGTCCATGATTAAAAAAAAACAGCTCTATAGAGTAGGATTTTTAAATACCACGTCGATGGTAAAAATTGCATTTTAATGAAAATGTCCATTATAATTCCGTCCATCATGTTGTTGACCCCTGCTGATGAAAAATTCCAACTCAGGCCATGCTGGCAATAGGTTAACTTTGAATGCTGCTCCTGTTCATGTGAATTAGAAGCTGTGGTGTGTGTGTGTGTGTGTGTGTGTGTGTGTGTGTGTGTGTGTGTGTGTGTGTGTGTTTTATTTTATATATTTTTTTTGAGTGACTAACAGGATTTAGTGTGCATGCACATCACACCATAAATGACCATCTTTAGAGGTGACTCGGATACCTGTTTCCAGTGTTATTCAATAAGGTTTTGCCCTGTTTGTGTGGGTTATATACAGCCATGGAAAAAATGAAGAGAAAAAAAAAACATTTTTTTGTTTCAATCATTTTTCAGTTTATGGCTCTGCGTCTGTCAATAATGCATTTTTTTTTTGCAAACTGCATCCTGGTTCTTCTGTTTCTCATTAATGAAGGGCTTCTTCCTTTCTGTACGGAACTTCAGTCCTGCTTCTCGGAGCCTGATACAAACTTCACACCTGCACTTAATTTTTCCCGTTCCTTTTGAAGGTCACTTGATGCCATTGTCTGATTCATGAGAAACTATGGGATAAGTTAACAGTCATCTCTGGCATTAGGATATCCCTTCTACTCTTTACCTGGCTGGTTTCTGATCGTTCCCAGTGTTTCCTGCTTCACCTTATGCTTGTGTCCCGCTGTCTTAGAAATTTTGAGCCTTCTGCCAGCAGTAGCATGATCAAATCAGGATTAAAAAAAAATGCATATTTGTTTAAAAATATAGTGGTCTCTTAATTTTTTCCACGGCTGTATATATTACATTGTGGGGACCATTTTTTTGGGCCCCACAAAGGGAATCTCGATTTTACAAAAATCTGTAATCAAAAAGCTAAAAATGCCAAAAGTCTTGTGTTTTGTTTGGTTACCTGTGGTTAAGGTTAGGGCTGGGAAGGGGTTAAGGTTGTCATTGTTGGGATTAGGGTTATGCCCATAGAAATGAATGGAGAGTCCCCACAAAGATATGGATACAAACGTGTGTGCATGTTTATGTATAGTTGTATATATGTATGTGTACAGTGTTGTTCAGAAGTCTTAGGCAGCCAAAGAAAATGTTGTTTAAATGATCTTGATATTGCTGTAAAACTTTATTTTGTAGCTTAGTCATTTCAAAACCTGTCCTAAAATCAACCCTAAATTTGCAATAACCATTTAACATACCCATGTATATTTTGACCACTAGTGCACCTTGTTTTTCTAATCAATACCTCTTTTGGTTATTTAAATAAATACATCAGTTAACTGTGCTGTTGGTATAATTTAACTAATACACAGAATGGCTGAGGTGGCCCTGAGGAGAGGTTTGGGAACCAAGGCTGAGTTCTTCTAGCCGTCCAACAAGGTATCGGTAACTTTTTGGAGAACAGAAGAAATTCTTCTTTTTTGTTTGTTCTGTTATTGTTAAATTGAATATGATATAATGTTAAATGTTTTTCTGTCCTTACTTCCTAGATAAATAGCTTTAAACATTTTCTTTGACTGCCTAAGACTTTTGCACAGTACCATATTTCTTGCTGGGGTAATTCTCCAAGGGACCAGTTTTCAAAATGTTCTACAGAATTTTTCAAATTCTCCCATTACATTTCCCTCGACATGCTTGGAGGGGTCCCAAGTCCCAGCTTCCCTAATAGCTGCCCTGGACTCTGTTACAGGTTACTGTCACACACACTGAAGTGTGAAATGAGCCTTTGAAATGTGATCTTGTTTTTTTTTTTTTTTCTCTTCATGTTTTCAAAGTGGTTGAGTCTGAATACTGTTAATTTGTGTTATCGCGACACAAACTGCCGACAGATTCTGTGTGAATCCTCTCACCCAAGGCACTAACGCTGTAAACATTGTGGATTTATAGTACGAGTAAGGGATGTGTAAATAACTCAGTGTTAAGACAAAGGACAACAAACAAAAAAACAATGTAGAACCAGAAACATTAACAGGGGGATATTGTCAGGTTATATTTGAAAGCCTCCAGGTTCTGTGTCTGATTTTTTGTGTTGTGGGTTAAACTTTCCAGCAGAGGTAGAAAGCAGTTTCTTTGCACACTATGTCCAGAAATTTGAATCAATACCTGATTGGTATAAAATGTGACCTCCCCTGCCCTCTTTATATAAGAATACATGTTGAGTACCTCCCTTGACTACATTGTTTTACAGAAAGCACAGGCTGGTAGTGACTAGCCTGTATTTGCCAGTCTCTCTCAGCTACTTCGACTGGATCTTCAGATGTCTGCAGGCCAAAAAGTGCACAAACTGTGAGCAAGAACAGGAGCGGTTACTCCTGGCTCGCCGCTCTGCACTAGGGACCGTTTCATTGGTCCGAGAGGAGGGCACTTACCCCGGCTGTCAGATTCCACCAATTGGCTCCTTGCTTGCGGCTGTCTCATTTGCATTACTAGTGCCGGCATTTGGGAAGGCCTGCTCCTGAACTCCATTGGCTCAAACTGCCTTCCGGCATTTCGGTTATGTTTGAAATTCAAACTAAATTCGACTGTTAAAAAAACAGTGTAAGGGGGGCTATTTTTTAATGATTAATTGAGAATGGATGCTTCCTGTGTCCTATCTGACGCACCCACTTGTGCTGTCTGCTGCCAAACACATACCTACGTGTGCTGCTCCTCTGCAGCTGCTGTCATCTAACTCTCAGACTGGGACATGTTGAAAGCCAACCCCCCGCCCCCCCACCCATTTATCTTTCTCGGCCCCCGTCATTGCTGTTGTCACCTGTTTGTGGAAGCAGAGTACAGGAAGCCATTCAGTCCATCCCTCTGAGCTCATTCCCTGGGAATGGAATGGTTTTTTTTCCACTTCTTTTTGTACCCTATCATGATACACCCTAGCTGCCTAGTGCAGACGAGCACTGCATAGCGAGTGAGGCAGTAACGCTGGATTGGGGGTGGGGGGGGGGACCGATCTCCTTTTCCTGATATCCCTAAATAGTGCGCTAGCAGACTGAGTTCGCATTTCGAAGGGATCCTATGTGTTGAGAATTGACATGTAAGTTTGTGGTCTGTCACCAGCCACCTTGTCTACACCTTCTTTACGTCTCATGTACCAGGTGCGCCCCTCCGAGCCCGATGGTCTGTGCCCAGTCTTGCCGAAGGGCAGTTAAGAGCTGACATCGTGAACAGGTTTTCACTGTATAATTAATTGCCATTGTAACTCTGTATGCTGGTGACTCGTTAAAGAGACCGCATCCCGAAAAAGTTTATTAAACGCGCGTCTTTTTTTAAATCGCAAGTATAATTGAAATGATGCCAGGGTCTGATGTAGATCTGCGGTGTCTTGTTCTTGTAATACAGCAGCACGTGGATTTGTGTCATTTCCTGTATAAGCCATAAACTTTTCATGGGGTGCTGGAGGGTTGGCGTACCAGGAAGTTTGGGCCCGGTGCTGGTGAGTACGCAGCACGGGGTGCCTTAAAGAGCAGATCAGCAGCTTCGCTTGCCGCTGGGCTCCATGCCAGGGTGCTCATGTGAAGTCTGAGGGTTTCACTGCGGCTGTGAGGCTCGACCACGTCCCTTAAAGCATCTCTCCCCTCCCTAGTGCCATGACTGTCAGCCTTAATCTCAAAAAAAAAACCGCTTGGGCATTGTGGCCTTTCTTGACTACCCCCTTCCTGTCCCAGTACATCATGGGTAAACATGCATGCAGACACGCAGGACTGGAATCCACCTGAGGAAGAGAGGCCAGTCTGACACGTCCGCCTGAGAGCCGCTGTCTCTCCCGTGTCCTCAAGAAGTTATTTACTGCCAGCTGCTGCCGCAGGTCTTTGCTCTTCAGCCCTGTCACACACCATGGGAATTCCTCAGTGCTGGTCTGGTGGAGCCATGGGATTATCTGGTGGTCTGTTGGTCTGTTCCCTGGGTCATCTCGAGCGTATTCTCATAGTCTTCAGGAGTTCTGTGGTGTGGAGTGGATCGCTCTCCTGAGCTGAGCACATAAACGGTGTTCAGTTCTGTCAAAGGCTGCTAGATGCCGATGTGTAGTAAGAGGATTCTTAGTAAGCGGCTGGTGGCTTTTTAACCCCGGAATTCAGTGATGATCTGGCACTTTCCACCAGGCTTTCAGTGAGAGAGGTTAATCACTGATGAGGTGGTGACTTTTTATTATTTTTAAGGGAGACTTAGGTCTATGAGTCAATCCGCCCCTGTACCGAAGGGCCCCTCGTGGGACGACCGTCTTGGAAAGCCAAACGCTTGGTCTGGACTTGATCTTCTCAAGCTTCATTCCCATTGTCATGTGAACAAATACCACTTCACGTTTTCACCCACTTTCTTTAACGACACCTAATTCAGCCGACACATGGGCTTATGACTCCTCTGCTGTTCATTTTTATTGTGTTCTCCCTGTCATTACCCTTTATGTGAGTAAAATACGCTAATTCAGGTAAGTGCTTTGTATAAAACCTGCACCACTGTGAGCCCTTCTGCTCCGGAACCACCTGACAGAGTACACCAGCTCCTCTTTTCTTTTTTCTCTTTTCTTTGCTTCCACCTGCTCTCCCAGATTTATGGTATGAGTTGTATACATAAATCGCATCAATTCCAGCTGTGTGCACCTCGTCTTACATTGCCCATAACATTCCATAGCGTCAGTTAATCAAATAGTGAATCTAAAACTGAATGTGTTTCCTATTGTCCATAATCAGAAAATTATTTTTGTATATTGGATATTGATTGTTTGAAGCTTTTTTTTTTATGGCGTGGGCCAAGGATTTTTTAGTTATGTGTATAACATCATTTGCCTGATTTTCAATAATGTATTGTGCTGCAGTACATGCTTTAGATT